TCTATGTACTTGTTTAATTAAGTCTTATTTTAAGTATATGTCCTGGAGTTGTAGAACTCACTTAAAAATACTCTTCTGTTAATTATATTATGTTACTTTTATTTAGTCTTAAGTAATTTTTGCTGTTTTAGTTATATGTATGTACCGTTATGAATTTTTTGTTGCGCTATAAAAGATCATTCTTTTGATCTTATTGTGCTAATGATTTTATTAATAAATGAAATGAAATGAAATGAAAAATAAAGAGAACAAATAATAACGGACCTAAGACACAACCCTGGGGAACACCAGAGGAGGAGACAAAAGAATAAGACGATACATTATCAAAACGAACAACACAGGGTCTATTATACAGATAGGATGTGATCGACTTCAGAAACTCTGAATGAAAGCCCAGGCCTTCAAGGTATATATAGCGTCAATTTGGAATCCCTTTTGAAAGGTTCCCAAACAGTCCTCTGTAAAAGCAGCTAAATTTGTTAACGTGGATCTACCCGGAACGAACCCATGTTGGTTGGGACATAATAAATGTTTAACAGCAAAGTAAATTTTATCTTTAACTATGGACTCAAACAGTTTTGAGACAGTGGTAAGCTTAGAAATCGGCCTATAATTCTCAATTTATTACCACTTTTAAGAATTGGAGTAATAAAAGTCAATTTCCAGTCATCGAGGAAAACTCCGACCGAGAGGCCATCTACATCAGTGTTAGTGGATAGTTTAAGCTGGTTAATGCCATTAGCTACATCCTCGTCTGTCAACTTTAATTTCCCGAAGTTAATGGGAGTATCTAAATTTGACAAAAGATCTTCAGGAATAAAATCATTATCAGAATTACCTGAAATAAAATTGGAAGAAAAAATCAGCAAAAAGATTAACAGCTTCGGAGATGGAGTTGGCTGACACCCCGTTAAGCTGGACCGATGCAGGTATATTAGAGCAATTTTTCTTTAATTTAATATAACTCCAGAAGAACTTGGGATTAGATTTAATATTGCTTTCTACGCTGCGAATATAATTCCTATACAACGATTTATTGAGCCTGTTAAATTCAGCTCTATAAAACACGTAACGCTCACGCAAATTAACATCGTTGGAATGCTTTTGCCTTTTGTAGAACTTATTCTTCATATTCCTTATACGTATGAGTTCTTTAGTACACCATGGATGCTTAGCGGTTTTCGAATTAAGAATTGGGATGTGACCCACACAAATACCAAAAAGTTTAGGCTTAAAAATATCATAGCATTTCCAAAGTGCTGGGACCAATCCAAGTCAGACAAATTATTCAATTCAGCAAAATTACAACAAGAGTAGTTAAAAGCAACCGTCTGACTAGCAGTCGGTAATTCAAAATATTGGTAAAATTCAAAATCCAAAACCAAAGGGTTATGATGCTGATTTGGAGGGGTGATGTAACTGGCCGCATGAGAGAGCTTGAAATTTATATTAGAGCTAATATATATTAAATCTAAAATTCGGTTTAACCCATTAAAAAAACCATTGATTTGAAATAATTCAATACATAATAAATTATCAATTAAATATGATTCAGATAAAGTAGTAACATTTGATGGGGTAAGGAAAATTTTGTTATCAATAAAGCTCCAGGAAATATTACAGAAATTAAAGTCACCTAAAACACAAAGTGGGCTGTTTCCAATTTTCTCGTGGAGTGCCAGTATAAACATGTGCCTTGTATATGACATCACAGCTGCACGGCGGAATGTAGGACACAAAAATGTACAGCACACCACAGGTGCCATGTAATTTTACACAAAGTTGATCCAACAGGGAGTTGGCATCTAGCAGCGGATAGAAAGAAGCTCGGAGATATCTGCGCGCAGCTATCAGTACACCACCACCCCTACTAAAACGTTAAAGAGAGCTGGATTAAAGAACTCCGCATCGAAAAAATTACCATTCAGCCAGGTTTCTGTCAGAACGAAGCAGCCATAATCCAATTGTGAGCTGAGAATGTAGACAGATTCCGATTTTGTCCTGAGTCCCGAAGTATTTTGGTGATAGATACTTATTTTCCGATCACCAGAGGTAGAATGACTTTTTACTTCTTGCGCTGCGGCTGGGCATCTTTTTGAAAAAAATCAAAAGGCCGGACAGCAACATTGGAGGGCCAAATATCGGATGACAGAATTTTTGAGTAGTCAGATTCTGAAACTCCAAGCTTGAAATTAATGTGCTTAATAGTTTCCAAATCTGAATCCTTCTTGACCATACAATTGTCTTCTTATCGATAGCTGCATATTTAGCCACATAGCCAATGATGTCATCAGTCGTTACAGTAGGCAAAAAGATGATAAGTGCAGCCATTTGCGACGAACCACAACTCCCAGCTCCGAGTTCTCATTTGACCCAAATACACACCGCCTATGTCTCTTATGAGTACGCTTTTTATCCATAGCGCAACACTGTGCATTATTTGCTTTCGCATTGTTAGTTGCGTTTTTCACTTGTGCATTGTTCAACCTAGCATTGTTCGCCAAAGCCGCAGCAGCGGCTTACGTAGACACAGCGTTAGCGGGGCCAGCAGTTGGTGAACAGGCAGAAGTACAAGCAGGCGGAAGAGATGAAGAAGAAAAACCGATGTTATTACCAGGAGTAGTTGGCGAGCGAGTAAAAGCAACAGCAGCAGAAAAACCGGTATTACTACTAGTAGTTGAAAAACCGGTATTCGTATCAACTACATCAAGAGCGGTATAACCAGTATTTATACCCGGCGCATCAGAAACACAATAGGGGTATTCTCGAAGTCTTGCACGATGCACGGATTGCACGAAATGCAAAAATACTATTCCAAATTTCGAAGAGTACGAGAACACCCCATTGCAAAGAGGTAGCATGCATGGGGAGCAAGCAGCGAAATTATGTATCAAATACAATAACAAGAGACAGCAAAAAAAAATTAAGTGAGCGAGATGAGAGGAATGAGAGAAATATGTAGCAATTCCAACAACAAAACAACTAGCACAGGGTCGCTATTATCTTGCTATGCTATTTTGCAAAATATATACATGGGTTTCGACGTTGCATATTTTGCAGCGATAGGAAATGTTGTTTCCCATGAATTTTCTTGTTGTGTGTTTGCAATTTATGCAATCCGTGCAATCCGTGCTACGTGCAATGGCTTTGCAAGATTTGGAGAATACCCCTAATGCATTTCAGAACTTTTACGTACTGCCACGGTATTAGAGTAAGCAACAGCATCATTAGATGGCGCAGTGAAAGGGCGCCTTGGCAATTTACCAGGCTGAGCAACAACACTATCACTAGCTTTTGCTTTCGAACGCGTCGTTCTTTTGTTTCCACTAGTAGCAGGAGCCGGCGAAATAGAATTATCATTTGCCGGTTCAATTAATGCGATAAAAATGCTTTTTAATTTTTCCAAATCCGAAATCGCGTTTAAGATTTTATCTTTCAGCCCACAATGGGCCGTACAATTAGTACATAAAGACATTATTGCGAGATACTTTTCTGCAGTCGCTTAAACAATTCTATATCTTCTTCAATTTCACAATCTCAACACGGGTTTTCTAAAGGAAAATCTACTATCACTAATTTATTGGAGTTTACAACTCATGTCTCAAACGGTTTTAGAGAAAATGCTCATACCGACGTAATATACACCGATAAAGCCTTTGACAAAGTATGTCACTCGTTACTTATCCGTAAAGTCGACCCAATCGGCTTTCAGCACAGTCTTCTTCAATTGATCTCTTCTTACCTCTCTGGTAGAACACAAAGAGTTATTGTTAATAATTGTTCTTCCAACATCATTAAAGTTTCTTCAGGAGTTCCTCAGGGGAGCCACCTTGGTCCGATTCTGTTCCTGATATTCATTAATGATATTTCTTCTATAATAAAACATTCAGACATTTCGCTATAATGTTCTCCTGTCCTTTAATATATCGTATGTCATTAGTAAATTGTGCAATAAATTCCATATGTCTAGTTTGTCTCGGACTACGTTCGGTTTTTGAACTCAAAGCATATATCAAAGGCTTGTGATCTGTAAAAACTGTAAATTGTCGTCCTTCTAAAAGATAGCGAAAATGTTTAATGTTCAAATAAA